CTTCATTTACACAAGGAACCTACATCTACAATTATTCATTTCTATCTCCTTTCTGAAAAGCTTCTAATAGTTATTAGAAGAGAGAGAGAGAGAGAATAAATATTGAAAATGAGGGACATGTACACTAATTTGAACAATATAAAGGGGAAAATAGTGTATGGATGAAATTGCTCATCTTTAAATATGTCAATATACCTTTTTTTTTTCTAGGTCAATTGATGATGTTTTGGACGATTTTGATCCAGATGAACCCCAACTTATAAATATGAAAGGTTAGGGACATTTGTTGACACAAAATGAATATTATGAAAATGAAAAGATTAGGTATCGCTACTGCAATTTTTTCAAAATTTTATTAATCGAAACATAAATCAAACCTTATTTAAGCAATTTGGTTTAGATTTGAATTAAAACATTCATGGATTCACTTTGATCCAAATCAACTATTTCAAAGTCCCAATTTTTATTTTTATTTTTGTTTTTTCACTTATGCCTAGGAGTTAGTTGTTCCAATGGTCACTGAATTTAAATCCATATTTTTCATTGGCCATTGAAATTTAAAATGTCGAGTTTTGGTCACTGAACTTAGGTCTGTATCTTCAATTGTTCACTGAAATTTAAAATGTCGAGTTTTGATCACTGAACTTTAAAAAATGTTGTACATTACTCACTAAACTTTAAAAAATATGATACATTACTCACTAAATTTTGAAAAAGATTGTACATTACTCATTGTAAACTCGATATTTTTCAAAATTCAACAGTCATACTAGTGAGTAATGTACGACATATTCCAAAGTTTAGTGATCAAAACTCGACATTTTAAATTTCAGTGAGCAATCTAAGACATGTACCTAAATTCAATGAGCAATTGAAGACATTGACCTAAGTTTAGTGATCAAAACTCGACATTTTAAATTTCAGTGACCAATCAAAAATTTGGACCTAAGTTCAGTGAGCAATCGAAGACATTGATCTAAGTTCAGCGATCAAAACTCGACATTTTAAACTTTCATGACTAATCAACGACATGGATCTAAGTTCAGTGATCATTGGAACAATTAAAGCTATGCCTAACAATCAAAGGCAAGACTGAAGAGATTTAGCCCCCGTTTGGTCCCCATTTTTGGTAATGAAAATGGGAGGAATAATATTTTGTTGAAAAAATGAGTGGTTGAAAAAGAAGGAAAAATTTTCGATTTACGTGTAATATTATTTTATGAAAAATTGTGTGGTTGAAAATCGAAAAGAGAAAAATAGAATGTAATGAAATGTAATTTAATTGGGGAACAGGGGCTTAAGTTGGTCAATTCGGTGGGGCCGCTCTATCATCACGTAACGATATGCCAGTCAGGCTCATCAAAAACCACAGACAAAATGACAAAAAAGGGCTTTGACTGGTCATCGCCAGCGTGTCGCATCCAATTCCCAATATAGCTAAGTCCGCCACGACCGACCACCCGTCATTTCCTATTAGGCCCTTCCCTCACGCTTATTATTTAAACCTCCCCACCACTCTCCCTCTCTTCCTGTTCCTCATAAGTCATTTGAAGAGCAAGCAATTTCAGATTCAACGACGCCTAAGAGCCAATAGGTATATCTTGGTTTAATTTCAATTCTCATATAGTGTGTGTGTGTATATGTTACATACATGTAACTGCTAGGGTGGAGCTATTACTATTAGTCTTTGATTTATTCTTTGTAGATTTTGTATTTCCGTAGATCTAAAGTCACAGATCTAAAATTTCTGATTACAACAGGTTTCGATTTACTTTCCGAGTTAGATCTACAGTTTACTGAAATTGTGTGTAAAAGAAATGGAGTGAATTTAATGAAAAGGAAGATAAAATAGTGAGTTTGAAATCTGGCATTTAGATTTGTGTTTCTTATGTTAAGCATTTATTATTCATTCGAACTTCATAATTTTTTTTCACCCCATTAATATTATGGGGAAGGAGTAATTGAATCTGTGTGCGTTGTACGCAAATGATTTTATCTCAAATCATGTTATAGGAAGAGGTTGTGAAATCTGATGGGAAGAATATTTAGATAAAATTTCAGTTTAGTCTTTGTATTTTGTGGATGATTTTGGATTGGGAACCGTAAGATTCTCCTGTTTTTTAATTTTATTTGTTTGCTCATGTTCTTAATTTTTTCTTATATATTTTTTTTGCTATTTGAAAATATTGAAGCTTTGGATAATAAGGTGTAGTTTGTTGAAATTAAAATGTTTTAATCCAAGTTGTTATTGTGTAATTATGTACAAAGGTGAATTTTTAACATAGATAATAGTAATGGTAGTTAATTTCTACATAGATGTTTCGGCATATTAATTAGTGTTTTAACATTTCAAGGTTTTCAATTTTTTGCAGATTTGAGTACTATTTAGCATATTAAAAATGTCGCCAGCTGATTTGTCGCGTGAGGAGAATGTATACATGGCCAAGTTGGCCGAACAGGCTGAGCGATATGAGGAAATGGTTGAGTTTATGGAGAAGGTAGCAAAGGCTGTCAATACAGAGGAGTTGTCTGTGGAGGAGAGGAACCTCCTTTCTGTGGCATACAAAAATGTCATTGGTGCTAGAAGGGCTTCATGGAGGATCATCTCTTCCATCGAGCAGAAAGAAGAGAGCCGGGGGAATGAGGATCATGTCAATGTAATTAAGGAGTATAGGGGTAAGATTGAGGCTGAGCTCAGCAAGATCTGTGACGGGATTTTGAGCCTTCTCGAGTCCCACCTCGTTCCCTCAGCTTCATCCGCCGAGACCAAGGTCTTTTACCTGAAGATGAAAGGTGATTACCACAGGTATTTGGCCGAGTTCAAGACGGGGGCTGAGAGGAAGGAAGCCGCTGAGAGTACTTTGGTAGCATACAAGTCTGCTCAGGTGATTTATTTGTGTTGAGACAATGGATTCTGTGCAAATGGATTTATTTGTGTGGACCGTTCTGAGTGTTTCGTTAATTGTATAATGCAGGATATTGCATTGGCAGACTTGGCTCCCACTCACCCGATTAGGCTGGGACTTGCTCTCAACTTCTCTGTTTTCTATTACGAAATCCTCAACTCACCAGATCGTGCTTGCAACCTTGCCAAGCAGGTACTTTGGGAATGAACATGCATGCTGTCATTGCTTGGTCATTTCTTTATAACCTCATGATAACTATGAGCTTGACCTTTTTTCTTTTTTTCTTTTTATTTTTATGTGTCACTGTCTTGGACTGCCTCTGGATGTGTGTAATTAAAATATTGGGCTGTTTGCCGTGTTGAAATTAATGGAAAAGGACAAGTGTTTAGGTCTTGTTCCACAATCCGTTGGAAAATTTAACTTCTATAATTGGAGCTTCATTAAGGGCTTGATGGTGTAAAATGCAACTTTGACTTCTGCAGATAAAAGATAAATTTTCAAAATAAACCTTCTTTTTGTCACGTTTTTTCATTTATAAAAGTCTAATGGTTTAACTTTATTTATATGTTTGTTTAAAACACCTTCTCTAGATGACCAATTATTCCATTAGAATGGTGACTGGTGTAGACTTGGCTAGATGCATTCAGACTAGAAAAAATTTCATAAGTTGAAGAGAAGTGTATTCTAGCATTATTCCATACAGGGAATCCTTTTAAAAAGTTCTAAACAATTTGACTCTCTCATTTTTTTGGACTTCTCTTTGAGAAATTTCTTCTAAATAAAAAATTGAAGCCTCTATATACATTTATGATGTTCGTCTGTCCCCAATAATGTTGGGATTGTCGTCAGTGTATGTTTTGTTTTACGCCATCAGTTGATATTCTGAAGATTAAGCATATGAACAGTTTATCTGATTATAGATGTCTTGGCCATTTATACTGTAATACAATCAACGACGCCTAAGAGCCAATAGGTATATCTTGGTTTAATTTCAATTCTCATATAGTGTGTGTGTGTATATGTTACATACATGTAACTGCTAGGGTGGAGCTATTACTATTAGTCTTTGATTTATTCTTTGTAGATTTTGTATTTCCGTAGATCTAAAGTCACAGATCTAAAATTTCTGATTACAACAGGTTTCGATTTACTTTCCGAGTTAGATCTACAGTTTACTGAAATTGTGTGTAAAAGAAATGGAGTGAATTTAATGAAAAGGAAGATAAAATAGTGAGTTTGAAATCTGGCATTTAGATTTGTGTTTCTTATGTTAAGCATTTATTATTCATTCGAACTTCATAATTTTTTTTCACCCCATTAATATTATGGGGAAGGAGTAATTGAATCTGTGTGAGTTGTACGCAAATGATTTTATCTCAAATCATGTTATAGGAAGAAGTTGTGAAATCTGATGGGAAGAATATTTAGATAAAATTTCAGTTTAGTCTTTGTATTTTGTGGATGATTTTGGATTGGGAACCGTAAGATTCTCCTGTTTTTTAATTTTATTTGTTTGCTCATGTTCTTAATTTTTTCTTATATATTTTTTTTGCTATTTGAAAATATTGAAGCTTTGGATAATAAGGTGTAGTTTGTTGAAATTAAAATGTTTTAATCCAGGTTGTTATTGTGTAATTATGTACAAAGGTGAATTTTTAACATAGATAATAGTAATGGTAGTTAATTTCTACATAGATGTTTCGGCATATTAATTAGTGTTTTAACATTTCAAGGTTTTCAATTTTTTGCAGATTTGAGTACTATTTAGCATATTAAAAATGTCGCCAGCTGATTTGTCGCGTGAGGAGAATGTATACATGGCCAAGTTGGCCGAACAGGCTGAGCGATATGAGGAAATGGTTGAGTTTATGGAGAAGGTAGCAAAGGCTGTCAATACAGAGGAGTTGTCTGTGGAGGAGAGGAACCTCCTTTCTGTGGCATACAAAAATGTCATTGGTGCTAGAAGGGCTTCATGGAGGATCATCTCTTCCATCGAGCAGAAAGAAGAGAGCCGGGGGAATGAGGATCATGTCAATGTGATTAAGGAGTATAGGGGTAAGATTGAGGCTGAGCTCAGCAAGATCTGTGACGGGATTTTGAGCCTTCTCGAGTCCCACCTCGTTCCCTCAGCTTCATCCGCCGAGACCAAGGTCTTTTACCTGAAGATGAAAGGTGATTACCACAGGTATTTGGCCGAGTTCAAGACGGGGGCTGAGAGGAAGGAAGCCGCTGAGAGTACTTTGGTAGCATACAAGTCTGCTCAGGTGATTTATTTGTGTTGAGACAATGGATTCTGTGCAAATGGATTTATTTGTGTGGACCGTTCTGAGTGTTTCGTTAATTGTATAATGCAGGATATTGCATTGGCAGACTTGGCTCCCACTCACCCGATTAGGCTGGGACTTGCTCTCAACTTCTCTGTTTTCTATTACGAAATCCTCAACTCACCAGATCGTGCTTGCAACCTTGCCAAGCAGGTACTTTGGGAATGAACATGCATGCTGTCATTGCTTGGTCATTTCTTTATAAACTCATGATAACTATGAGCTTGACCTTTTTTCTTTTTTTCTTTTTATTTTTATGTGTCACTGTCTTGGACTGCCTCTGGATGTGTGTAATTAAAATATTGGGCTGTTTGCCGTGTTGAAATTAATGGAAAAGGACAAGTGTTTAGGTCTTGTTCCACAATCCGTTGGAAAATTTAACTTCTATAATTGGAGCTTCATTAAGGGCTTGATGGTGTAAAATGCAACTTTGACTTCTGCAGATAAAAGATAAATTTTCAAAATAAACCTTCTTTTTGTCACGTTTTTTCATTTATAAAAGTCTAATGGTTTAACTTTATTTATATGTTTGTTTAAAACACCTTCTCTAGATGACCAATTATTCCATTAGAATGGTGACTGGTGTAGACTTGGCTAGATGCATTCAGACTAGAAAAAATTTCATAAGTTGAAGAGAAGTGTATTCTAGCATTATTCCATACAGGGAATCCTTTTAAAAAGTTCTAAACAATTTGACTCTCTCATTTTTTTGGACTTCTCTTTGAGAAATTTCTTCTAAATAAAAAATTGATGCCTCTATATACATTTATGATGTTCGTCTGTCCCCAATAATGTTGGGATTGTCGTCAGTGTATGTTTTGTTTTACGCCATCAGTTGATATTCTGAAGATTAAGCATATGAACAGTTTATCTGATTATAGATGTCTTGGCCATTTATACTGTAATACAACTTTGCATGAGAGCTTGCCAGCTGGGCATCTCTCTGTGTGTAAACTCTCGGAAAAACACAAACCATGGTGGGTTTGTTTTTTCTCAAGTCAATCTGTCTCATTTTTCTACTTAATATTATTTTGGTGATCAGTGCATTTTGTAATTCTTTATCTGTCATTTATCACCAAGTCTGCTGTTTTCATTTATAAACTTGCTTGACTCGTGTATGTATAATACTTGACATCAGGCTTTCGATGAAGCCATTGCTGAGCTAGACACATTGGGTGAGGAATCCTACAAGGACAGCACATTGATCATGCAACTTCTCCGGGACAATCTGACTCTTTGGACTTCTGATATAACGGTATATCCAAAGGAAACCACAAATTTTTCAGCATCACTTTCTTACTACCTCTTCCTGGGATTCCCTTATTTATATACATTCTTCCTTTCCTGGATTTCATGCACTGCCACGATATTATTCCATTTTAAGGCCAAAGCATACAACTTCAATAGTTTGCGTCTGTTGTATTCCATTTAACACAACACTTATGTTTTATAGGGGTAGAAATAGTTCTTTTAGAATGAATTGATCTGACAATCCAATCCTCGTCATAAACCAGAGCTTCTAACACCTCATTTGTTTATAATGTTTTCTAAACCGGACAAGTTAAAATATGGAATGAATTTGGATTTGTTCCTTAAAACATTCATGTAAAATATGCTGTTACTTATATTGTTGAGTTCTTGGTGTTTATTTGTTTTGATTTCAGGATGATGCTGGGGACGAGATCAAGGAAGCTCCAAAAGCAGACCCTGGCGAGGGACAGCAGTGAATCTGTGGCGCTGTAGAACTGTGAGCAGCCAATTTGTTGTTCTACCATTGAATTTCTT